AAAAGTATAAATTGTCTTCATGTTTGTAAAGAGAATGTACAGTTTGTGTATACTCAGATGCAATATTTTTGTGTATTTTTGTAAACATTTTTTTAAAACAACTGAATAAAAGAAACATTTTACAATAACTTCTTACTTTCCCAAATGTTGCCTCAAGTTTCTTTAAAAAACTTAGTAAAATGGGTCTTGGTCCCCAGATTCAGTGCTGTGCTCAGTAGGCCAGTGCGAAGCAGCTAATATTCGCTTCAGATTCAGATTCGGCTGATTCGGGAAACAATGATATGATTCAGTGATTCAAATCACTGTCCCGAATCAATTCAGCTGAATCTGATTCAGAGATTCGGCTTCTGCTGGATCTCTGAATCACCCAGGCCCATTCCCCACCCACTCTCCCAGCCTCAGCAATGGCTGCCCCGCCCGCCCTAGCTCCTACCACTCTGGAAAAAAAAGCCCCAACTCACCGGGTGCTGCCCACTGCCCCACGCTGCATGGGGGCTCTGCCATGAGCCCCCCCAAGTCTCCCCCATGGCTGCTCTGTCCACCCCATTTCCAGCTCTTTAAGGAAAAAAAACCCCCAACTCACTGGTTCCCGCCTGGCGGGGGGCAATCCCCACTGCTCCCCACTGTCCCACGCCACATGGTGGGGGGGCTCTTCTATGAGTCCTCTGAAGCCCTGAGGCTGCCGCAGGAGTCGGTAAGTGCAGGGTTTTTTGGGTTGTTTTTTTTTTCTTAAAAGGCCTGAGCCGGGGCTGGTGGGGCAGCCATGGCAGAGGCTGGGACAGCAGGGGCAGGGGGAAATCAGGGGGCTCATGCAGAGCCCCCCATGCAATGTAGGGCAGTGGGAAGAATGGGGATCACCTCCCCCGTCTGGCAGCACCTGGTGAGTGGGGGCTTTTTTTTAAAGCACCGGGATTGGGGCAGGCGAGTGAGCCATGGGGAGGCTGAGGGAGGGGTCAGGGGGCTGGGAGAGCAGGCAGGGGATGGGGCCTGGCAGGGGTCCCCCCATGGTACCCTTCCCCCTTCTCCAGCCCCACTCCCTTGCCCCCTACTTACCGTCATGGAATCCGGCTCCAGCTCCCTGCTGCAGTGGGCAGGGACTCCCCAAATCATCAAAGCTCTCTGGACCTTTTTATTGGTCCCCTGATTCAATTCAGATTTGGAGATTCAGCCACCAAATCAGGCCAAATCTCCTCTGAATTGAATCAGCATCTGAAGCTTCGCACAGTCCTAATGCTCAGGTCTCCCATGCCCTATGCTAATAGCAAGTGGTTTGGTAGAAGCACAGTTTGACCCCGAGTACCATCGTGGATGATGCCTAAGTGTTGAGAGTGGGGGGATATAACTCTATACCAAAACTGCCTCTACCGCTGCCAGCTGCTGGCTCTGACCAGGCTCAGCCACATGCCCCACAGTCAGTGCAGAAATCACACTGCTGTCCCTGCTGGGCCCTGGCACCAGCTGCTGGGCCCTGGCTCCAGCTGGGCTGCAGCCCCACCATCAGCTCAGAAAGCTGGGAGGACATGTGCCCCTCTTACACATCACCATTGAGTAGCACTGATCAGTTTCATACTCCAGAAAAGCAGAAGTCATGCCTGCCTACCAGGTGAGTCTAACAGAGAGCCTGGGGCTTCCTGTTACTTCAAGATAAAAGCAGCCCAGCCAGGGAGCTCTGCAGGCTAAGCAGCGGGCAACAGGACTAACAGGGCTATTAGCAGGCACCTGCAGATAGTCACTTTACTGGATGTAGGCAGGGCTCTGGGAGCTTATAAATAGGGCCCTGAGAAAATCACGATTTTGTGAACTGCAAGAGGAAACCTGGGCTTTTGCAGCTCCAACCTGCAAGCGGCTGCTGGGGGCATGGTCAGAACACAGTCAGGCAGTCGTGGGAGCAGCCCAAATGAAGGTAAGTGTATGTGGAGCAGGGGAGGGGAAAGGGGTTTGGAGGGCCAGGACTTGGGGACTGTTGGGGCGGGGGGCAGAGTGGTGTGTGTGTGCCTACTTCATGTGCTTGGGTGAAATATCATTTATCATGGAATATTCACAGAACTACCAGGATCCATTTGCCAAGATCAATGGTAGTCCCATTAATATTCCATGAAAAATGATACTTTACCCATGCACATGCTTCAAATTTTCTACAAGAAACCCATGACTTTCTCAGGGCCCTACTTATAAGCCCAAGCTGAAGCTGGCTTGGGGAAGTCTCTCCATGGCTGCCACAAGGGAAGGACCCCCTGCCCAGGGGGGTCCCCCAAGGATGCTGGGCTGACCATTTGCTGCTCACAGGAACCAGGAGGCTCAGGGAACTTGCAAAGTACCCTGACCAGGAGGCATGCTGTGTTAGAGATAAAGGTTTGCCCTCTTAAAGGGACAGAGGGCTGCTACTTTGTTGTTATTATTATGTTATACCCCAGGGGTTTATGTTATGTTATGATTTGAACCAGTGGTTTGGGATGAGTCTGGAAGGGGAGGTATGGAGGCCTCTTTAGTGCCCAGGGGGCACTTGACTGCCTTGAGTCCTGCCAGGGACAGGCTTGAGGCTCAAGTAGATATTGAGCCCAGAGCAGACAGAGAGAGAAGGCACACCCTGGGGGCAGAGGCCTGGGGTCTGGGGCCAGAGAAGGTTGCAGCCGGACAGGGGCCAGGGGCCCAGCAGTTACCAAAGGGACAAATAAGAGCTAGAGCCCCGAAGTCAGGTCCAATTCAGTGGGCCCAGGCTAAAAGGCCTAGCAAGATTAAAGGGGCAAATGCTGAGGAGGCCAAAGCCCTACAGAGGAAACAACATTGCAGTAACACCCATGAGGCATGGGTGTGGTAAAGGGAAGGATTTGGAGCTATGCAAGTAGTCCTTAAGGCTTTGGGTGCCCTGCCAGGTACGGTTGACTTTAGAAGCCCAGCAAGGGACCTGGGCACAGGCAGAGGCCAGAGTGGTCCAGTGGGACTGAGGCCTAGCAAAGACCTGTGGGCAGCTTCCCTATATATTAAAAATAACAGCAAGGCATGGCAAGCGAGACAGGAAGGTGCCCTAGGGGTAGGGCATGGTCACAGAGCCACCAGGGGGTGTCATGGCCACCCCTGGAACCCCAATGTGTTACAGTGAGATTTTCCAATGTTAGATGTCAAGTAGCCCAGAACATTGAGAGAAAAGAAAAGACAACAACTGAAATGCTTCAATACTTCCTGCATTTAGGCAGCCACCAAAGTTCAAGTGTCAATATTTCAAGCTATGTTGCTTTAAACTCTTCTTGCATATTGCTATCCTTCTGTGGAGTAACCCTGTACCCTGTACCTTGTAGGAAATGCTGCAAGTTTTAAAAAATGTATTTATGGCACAGAAGGTTAAGAATTGAGAGCGACTGACTGCTTCCATTTGGGGGGCAGCTTATGTCAATAAACTGCAACAGAACAAGGGTAGGGGAAAAAGCTTTCTATAAGCATGTTTCCTTGGGTGGAGGCAGACAAAACATTTACAGTGAGGTAAAAAAGTAGCAGACAAACATAGAAAATGTCTAAACCAGGACAACTTCACCCACTCCAATGGAGTTTTTTCCTGTGCAAGAATAAGGCAAAATTCTAGGAATGTAATTTATAGTGGGTTATGTTTTGTGTATCCACTTCCATCCTAGGGTATTCATTTCCTAAATGCAAATAGGCCATTATTGCTTCCTTGCCATCTAGTAATAATACCTGTAATAATATCTGTCACATGGGAGACCTCAACTTCTGTCTGGGTCTGGCCCCACAACTTGCTTACACCAGTATATCCTGCTTTTAGACCAGTGTAAACAAGGAGAAGATAAACCTGGGTAAGTCAGTAAAACCCAGCTAAGAGTTGTCCTTGGAAAAAATCAGTGGAAAAAACTGTAATGATGCAAGTTATATCCATGTAAGTGTCATGTGTACACTTAATTCTGCTGCTTGCTCAAAACAAACATGCAGTTACAGGCTCCCTCATCAAGGCACTGTAAAACGCAGCTAAAGCAGCAACCAGCCAGGATGAGCAGATTTTCCATTCACTCCAGACACTGATCTAAGTTGTGCAAGTGTTACTATGTTGTATGTTCAAAACCCTCAGTTTAAACCCCACTTTGACTTATATTGATGTACAAAATTACATCAAATGAATATCTGTCTAAATCCTTTCCAAATCAAGGGAGCAGCAGAATGTCAGCCTTCCCCACCTTTAGCTGTCAAGGAGACTGACTTATTGAAGGCTGAGATAAATACAAGTGAAATACATACTTGGCAGCCTACTGCGGATAATAATACTCACATTTATAATTGCAGTGTACAGGAAGTCTGAAAAAATATGTTAAGTTCTGTTTTAGTGGCAATGCTTTTGCTGTGCATCAGCCTTTCTCAGCAGCTGATTTTGCTGTCCACACAGTTGTATTTTCAAGAAATGAGACAGCTCAGCTTTTAGTCCTCATGAGAATAAGACAAAGCAAGTATAACAGATGCCTTTGATACTATGCTTGCCTGTCACCGGCATATGCTGATACACATCAGTCCTGGCCTGTGTCATTCCTGC